TGTTTTAGTTATTATTAGGCTTAAATTGCTGAAAATTAAATATCATAAAATATTTAGATAAAGATTAGATTAGATCTAATTATTGCAGTAAATATGAATACATTATGTTTTTTCGATAAAGAATGGTTTGAAAATATTCAAATCCTGCAATAAAAAATTGCTATCCTATCATTGTATACTAATCAATGGGTCAAATAACAAAGTCATAGTTAATTGACATTATATTTAAATTCAAAGCATTCGATATAGAGGTATAAAGGCCGATAGAGCAACTGACTAATAAAAAATTAAATTCATATAAATGTAATAAAAAACAATTTATTCCCAATCATAGTAAAAGAAACAAAATTGGGCCCATAACCTTCTCTATTTTGCATTTCCAAAGATTTTAAATAGTATTTAGTTTGAATCTACCAGAATGTTAACAAATATTCTGGTTCAACTCCTCATAACTTGGGCTGGAATAATAAAGAAAAAGCAAAAATTAATATAGAAAACAACAGTTTTATACTGAAAATGTTTAAAATACATGTGTATACCACAATCTGGAAAGTGTTGTTTATCTATATAAACGAGCACGTCTAAATTGACATATATTCAATAATGGTACAAAACTATTCAAAACCCACGTGTTATCAATTTGCAAAACCGCAAACCTAACCATTAAATCCAATTTGATATCAAAGCAACCACAAAAATACAATATGCCATCCTTTAAAGCAACCACAAAAATACAATATGCCATCCTTTATCGTATATCTAATTTTGAAATCTGTTTTTCTAGCTAAATTCCATCCTTTATCATATAATATCTAATTTTACAATCTATTTCTAGCTAAATTGCCCAATTCAGCAGCTTTGAATGTTGCTAAGGAATTAATAGAGTGTGGTATCGAAATGAATAAAATTCGATCAGGAAACGGATATAAATTATTAGGACACCGACAAGCTGCAGCCACTGATTGTCCTGGACAATCATTATACGATGAGATCAAAACTTGGCCTCGGTACGAGCCTAACCCTTAAATATAAGACATATTTCAGAAAAAATTGATAAAAGATTATGTGATTTTGAAATTTAATAAACCATTTATAATATAAAGATTTTATCTGTATTTTTATATACTACTGAAATATTTATATGAATGCAATTAAAAGTTTATATAAGATAGCCTCCAGTTCAGTTGGTACTTGAATCTTGCTCATCATGGTGGTAGCCAAAACAAAAAAAGATATGGTAAAAAAGTAAATTTCTCATTTGCTATGATATTAACCAAACGTTTAAAAAAATTACTGCAAATAAATTTAATGCACATGTCAAACAAATCTATAGATACCTTAGATTCTAAGACTTAGAACTTAACCTTATGTTGATCAATAGTTGCAATAAAAAAGCAACTCGATAAAAAAGATTACAGATTTAGTAGAGCGGAAAAATGTTACATTTAAAGTGTAAGTTTGATTATGTTGAATGATTTATATTTAATCGTAAACAAGAAATGAAATTGCATATTAAGCAAAATGCAAATAACGGTTTGCAAAGCAATGCTGAAAATGCGTGTTAATAGGTCACGTGTAGCCATGGCATAAATTTTATCCATAAAAGTACTTTTTGCAATTGCATTATGGTGTAATAATTATATATATGTATTCACACTTCAACATTAAAAAAATAATGCAGGTTGGATCAAACAATTGTTGTTGCTATTTATAGGATATGGTCAATAATAAAACAATATGTCTGATACAATTTCTGTTATGCATATTAATTCACTTACTACAATCGTAATTAGAATATGTATTAGAATGCAAAATAGGTACTCATAAAATTATTTTGTTTTTAAAAATACAAAGAACCATCGCGAATAAATAAATTGTATTTTCAGAATATACAAAGTCAAAACATGATAAAAATAGCAGAAAGTCTCAATGTCATATATGCTCCTTCAATTTTATGAATAAATAATTTTATTCATAAACGTATGTAAAATCATCTTGACAATAACAATAATAAGTACCGCATCTTCATCATTAGTGGATTCCAAAGTTGAAGATCATGTAATTTTGATCATATTTATGAAAACTTGATTTTATCTCAGTTATTGGAAAAAATGATATATATATATATATATATATATATATATATATATATAATTAAATAGAGCTGCAATTAAATCATTGCTCAATAATTCTAATTGCATTGTGAAAGTACCTAAACTTCTTAGTCATTTAAAACTCCAAAGTTCATAGTACAGCTAAAGTAAAAAAGAGAGATTTAAACCGCGACTAACAACAAAAAGCCATTCATGCTAACGAAGTATAAGAAATTAATTATTTTTCATATAAAAAGCATTACAAAGTACGTTCCGAAGCCATATACCACTATTCCATATAGTTTTATAGCTTGTAAAAGTGAAACAATGTTTATATGAATTAATTTTCGAGATTGTTTAAGAAAGTTCAAGAATGAAGTTGTATTTTAAATTTTAACGAGACTTTGAGAAATAATATTCTGAATCCTAAATTTTAATAATAAAAGCCAGTGTACTTTCAAAACGAGATATTCAAAGTGCAATCCAGTAAAATTTTCACTGTGAAAACATGATGTCTTTTAGTAACAGAAAGTATATAGCCCAAAAATTTGGTTAATGGTAAACTCTGGAAGATTAAAAGTGTAATCAGTCGAATAAAATTACTATCTAAAGAAATTAACGATTTTAATTTAAGATTTTAAATTATTTTTTCAATTTTAATTACTCTATAAATAGATTCCAGCATTTTCACTTTCAACATTAGCAAAATTTATTAGATTAAACAAAAAATATTTTTCATTCTTTCATAAAATAAACAATTTGAAAATTCTTAATGACTTTAATTCTAAATATTCTGGATTATATTAAACTAAACGTTTTTTTATATAAAATAAACAAATTGAAAAATTTATGGTTTTAACTCATGTTGTTAATTCATAATTATTCTGTCATATATACCTTTAATAAAAGTTTTTATAATTTTTCCAGCTATAGTTAGAGAGTATACTCTGAACAAAGTTTTTGAATGCACTCGATTATGTTAGAGTAAATATATTTTTCAATCTTTTAAAAAATAAATATTTGAAATAAGTAATGATTTTAACACATATGTGTTAAAAGCTTATGCTTTTAATTCAGAATTAATATGTTGATAATAAATATCTCTACTAAAGATTGTTCATTTTAACAAAAATTCTAAATACTGTGGATTATATTAAGGTGAATATATTTTCATTTCTTGATTTGGTGTTTAAAATTCGAAAATAATATATTAATAATAAATAACTCTAATAACAAATTGAAACAGTTTATTATACAGAAAGTTCTAAATAATCTCAATTATATTGAACTTGATATACTTTTCTTTCTTTCATAAAACAAACAACTTATAAATATTTAATGGATTTGTTTTAACTCATGTTTTCAATTCATAATTAATCTATTAATAATAGATAACTCTAATAATAGTTTAAAAAATTCATGCCTTTGACCCATATTCTAAATTCAAAATAAATGATTTAATAATAAATGACTCTAATGGCAGTTTTTAATATTTATACTTTAGTAAAAGTTCTAATTGTAAGACTAAATGTATCTTTATTTAATTTATAAAAAAATCAATGAGAAAAATAATGATTTCAGCTTAAAAAAATAATGCTAATGACGCTTTAATGCTTTTTTTTAAGTTTTTAATGCTTTTGTAGCTAATTTTAACAAATAATCTAAATATTTTCGATTATATTAAAGTAAATGTATTTTTTATTTATTTATGGTATTATAAATTTGGGGGAAATTAATGAAAATGTTTAATGGTAATGGTAACTTTGTAATGTTTTCAGAAGATATCCTGCATAATTTCCATTATATTGAATAAAATATGTTTTTTTAAATTTAGATAAAATAAACAATTTCGAGAAAACCAATCATCAAAACTTATGTTTTCAATTGATAATCAATCTGTGAATAATAAACGACTTTAATAAGAGTTTAATATGTTTAATTTTAGCTCTATTCTCAATTATAGTAAATTAAATAATTTGGAAAAAACAACAATTTTAACTCATGATTTCAATGAATAAATAACCCTAACAAAACTAATTTTAACAAAAATTCTAAACGTCTTCGATTATATTAAAGTAAATGTATTTTTTATTTATTTATGGTATAATAAATTGGGGGAAAATTGATGGAAATTTTTAATGGTAATGGTAACTTTGTAATGTTTTCAGCAAAAATTCTGCATAATCTCCATTATATTAAATAAAATATAATTTTTTAAATTTAGATAAAATAAACAATTTCGAGAAAATCAATCATCAAAACTTAAGTTTTCAATTGATAATCAGTCTCGACTTTAATAAGAGTTTAATATGTTTAATTTTAGCTCTATTCTCAATTATAGTAAATTTAATAATTTGGAAAAACGAATAGTTTTAACTCATGTTTTCAAATAATAAATAACCCTAATAATAGTTATTAATGCTAACTAACTTTAACAAAAAAAATCTAAAAATTCAGAATTATATTAACCTAAATGTGTTTATAGTTCTTTTTATGAAATAAATAATTTACGCTATATTGTATCACTGAAAAATTTAACATTGTCTTACAATATTATGTAAAACATTATAAAAAAAATAATTTATATGTTTTCAATTGATAATAATCTGTACGACTTCAATAAGAGTTTTATATGCTTAATTTTAGCTCTATTCTCAATTATAGTAAATTAAATAATTTGGAAAAACCAACAGTTTTAACTCATGTTTTTAATTAATAAATAACCCTAACAATAGTTTATAATGCTAATTAACTTTAGCAAAAGAAATCTAAAAATTCAGAATTACATTAACCTAAATGTATTTATCGTTCTTTTTATGAAATAAATCATTTACGCTCTATTATATCACTGAAAAAATTTAACATTGTCTTAAAATATGCATAATATTATAAAAAAAAATAATGTACCTTATGAAAAATCCTTAATTGTATAATAACAAACAACCACTTGAATGTAACTCCACTAATATCATTTATGACTATATACCGGCCGGAAAGAACGTTAACATAACACTGTCTATAGGTTTATTCGAACTGAATGAGAATATTCGAATATCTCAGCCACATTATTTATTATAAAAATAAGAAAGAAAATCGTCGGTGCGTTGCCATCGTCGCGACTCGTACTTTGCACCTTCGCACCACTCGGACTGAAAATTTTCGCTCTATCGAGGATAAACATATGTACGTGGATTTGTAATGCAATTGATTCGAAGCGTAGAACATCGTTTAATTAGATAAGAATGTTGCTTCTCCATTGTTCAATTATTATTGAATTTGTATATGTATATTGTATATTTATTTATGTATGTGTAGGTGTAATAAAATAAAATCACGCGTCGATGATGATGGTTCCACCTTTGTGCTCTGATAGAGAGGGGAACGCAGTGTGTTAGGAATACAAATACTGTATTCATCAAAGAAACTTATAGTACTGTGTATTTCTTTGTTATATATTTAAAACAATACTTTCTTGTTTTTATTTATAGTTAATGTAAGATATTAAACTTAAAACAAATGCGTTTTATCCTGTTTTAGTGTCTTCCGCATTCAACAGATGGTGTTCTGTGTTCAAATTCATCGCTCGTTTTAAAGTACTGATTCTCAAATTATAATACATGTACTTCTCTTTTCAAAGAACTCATTTTTCAGGAATTGTTGATCTTTTCCCTTTTTTCATATATAGTTCAGTCATTTGGTAGTTTTACTATAAGAATTTTTCGGAAGTTTTTAAAATTGGTGATTTTATGGATTTTGATGTGATCTTTACGAATTACGATTTAAAATGTTCAATCACCAGCAAAAATAAAAATGAAAAACAAAAGTAAACATTTTATTTTATTCCTAGGCCAGACCTAAAGGAAAAAGCTTAATTCAACATTGAAATTACATATTTATTTATTAGAGAGAATGCGTTCAAGTGCAAAGAGCGGCCAAATACTGAGAGGAGAAATGGCGGCGCGAGCAGCAAAAAATTTGCGGCGCACGTATGCTAAAACTATTGTTGTCACAGAAAAACGTTATTGAATAAATTATAGAAAATTTTGTCTAGTGAATAATTTATAGAAAATTTTGTATATATTTTATTGTAATTGAGTCAGAAAGGAGATATCGTTGAAAAACTGACTTTTGATGCAATTTTTCCAATATGGCGTCGGCAGCGGCAAAAATTCGAGCTCCCAAAGTTGAGAATTGTAAAGATCACACCAAAATCTATGAATTTTCAAAACTTCCAGAAATCTCTTAAGGTAGCAGCTTTTTTGCACCAAATGACTGGGCTAATATTATATATACTAAGATAAAATGTATATAGCGGGTTGTCAACACGCATCGCGGCTCGTCAACACGCATCACATGTTACTGGACAGATTGGCCCATATAGTGACAGCACGGAGAAAAACAAAAGGAAATTCAAGTGTCAGATCGGACATGGCTTTTGTTTCTCCCTAGTCGAATTTGCCTAAAATGTATGATTCTTAAAACCTTTCTTTTCAATTATCAATAAGAAAATACCAATAACGTTTTATTAACGATCAGTATGACAACACATAGTGTCGTGGATATTAATCATATATAAAATAAACGAAATATAAATAATATTTTATGAAATTTATTATTGTCTATAATTTTGGTATTTAATATGGACCACACCTCCATATTTTGGTGACCCCGACGTGATAACTAGTAACACACAGAAAAGAAGGTAAGAAGATCAAGACATATTTTGAAGTAGCAAAAAAAAATAAATTGAAGTCTCAAGAATTATTAAGAAAAGAATTTTTAAAAATATAAATAATTATTATAAATGGCTCACAACTGCCATAATTCGAAGAGCATTCTAAGCAAACAACTGAGACTCCGACCACGCACTTCAAGATCAACAACAACACGTGCTCAATAAATCACTTATTATCATGGTAAATAAGTCGATAATAAGCACCATGGCAGCAGACAGGGAGCAAACAATTTGGCAACCGCCATATACACTTAGCCGCTAACTCACCAGCGAAGGGCCACATACACTCAACCGCTAACTCACCAGCGAAGGGCCACATACAATCAACCGCTAACTCACCAGCGAAGGGCCACATACACTCAACCGCTAACTCACCAGCGAAGGGCCACATACAATCAACCGCTAACTCACCAGCGAAGGGCCACATACACTCAACCGCTAACTCACCAGCGAAGTGTCAAATATACTCAGCCGCTAACTCACCAGCGAAGGGCCACGTAAGCAATCAACAAACTCAACAAGCCAACACGGCATTCAAAACGGCCACGGCCACAAACAAATAAAATTTATCACACAATCTCAACCAAAAGAAATTTACAAGGAAGTTCAAGAATGGCAGTCAGAGATACGAAACAATCTTTTTCATTAGGGCGGAGTGATATAGCGGGTTGTCAACACGCATCGCGGCTCGTCAACACGCATCACATGTTACTGGACAGATTGGCCCATATAGTGACAGCACGGAGAAAAACAAAAGGAAATTCAAGTGTCAGATCGGACATGGCTTTTGTTTCTCCCTATTAGTTTTTGCCAAAATGTATAATTCTTGAAACCTTTCTTTTCAATTATAAATAAGAAAATACCAATAACGTTTTATTAACGATCAGTATGACAACACATAGTGTCGTGGATATTAATCATATATAAAATAAACGAAATATAAATAATATTTTATGAAATTTATTATTGTCTATAATTTTGGTATTTAATATGGACCACACCTCCATATGTATAACAATAATTATATGCATCGTGAGTATATGAAATTATACCCTTAGGCAATAATCTCATATATTTTAATTATATACTGTAATTAAACCTAATCAATGAAATTCATGTTTTTAAATCTTAATCGATAAACTGATAGTTTATTTGAATAGTATCTGAATAGTATATTATACGCGTATGTTCTCATTTATTCAAATATATATTTTGTTCAAAACAATTAGGTTTATCTTTTCTCTATCATACATTATATTTCTATACTATATATAAAGAGTAAAATTACAGAAACGTTTACAAGTATATAATATCAAAACTTATTTTTTTATTTTAATAACGCCAATAGACTATTTATAGTCTATAAGAGTATAAAATATACCAAACCATAGTTATATTATATTCTATGGTTTGGTATATTCTATACGTTAAATTATTATTAAAAAAAATAGGTTTCTATATTTTTGCTTTCTTATTTTTTGACACATTTTTGAGAGTGTCATTGTAATAAAAACCATTTCAAAAAAATAACTTTACCATTAAGCCTAAAATTACAGAAATGTCTGAAAGGATATAATATGAATATTTATTTCTTCATTTCATTAACGCCAATTAGGTTATATAATTCAAATATAGGCAAGGTATATGTTAAGCATATTCAGAAAAATAGATTATTAAAAATAAAAGTGCTTCTTCAAAGCCCAAATAAATCAGTAGTGCATTGCATTGTGCCTTAAGGCAAATTTTGCAGGAAATTTCGGCACCACAACATTCGAGGAATAACAATAATCTATCAATGCAATCAATAAAAATTTATCAATAATTGTTTTAAATATTTTCAAATGGATTTTTATTAATTCTGTAAGTTTCATCATTCGTATTTTATAGACAAAATATAGGAGTTTATAAATTAGGCAAAGAACCAAAGAAATGGAAACAAAATGTGCACTTATTATTCAAATTTCTATAAAATATCTGATAATTTGATGTACTTATTATTTTTGACCACTAAAGGTCATTTTTGGAGCTTTGTATATACTTCATATTAAAAAAAACAGTGTGCAAAAAATGCACATATAATATTAAATAACTTTCTGTTATATTTTCAAATAAAAAGTTTTTTGCACCATGTGTATGTGTGATTAAAATAAATGTATGTGTAGTTAGAATTTAAAGATCATGCATATACCTTTCTATAAAAAATGTTGAAAACCCATATTGTAGCCTTGATGATAGTATAGAACGTGAAAATATGGTTTCTATTAATTATAATGAAATACCCAATTTTTTAGAAAAACGAAATTTCCGTTATAACCATGAATTATCTAGCTAGCAATGCATACTAAACCATCACAAGATGTAGAAAAATATAATACAGTAATTCCTAAATTTTTACTGAATTTGGTTTGGTTGGGATTAAATAATGTTGTAAAATTATACTAGATTGATGCATATGAAAGTGCAAAATTTCCCATATGACTTTAATTAAGATTTTTTGTCTGGAAAAATAACTTAATTCGTGTGAACTATATGATTTTCATTTATCTTTTCTCCAAATAACGATAATAAGGTACATAGTGAAAATATATCACAAAATTATACTTTGATATCACTTAATTATATGTTGATAAAAACTCTGAAACGTTAATCAATTCAGAGTTTGGCTCATTGTTAAATAAAACTCATTATGAATAACTTATCAAATAATAGATAAAACCGACTTGTTGAACTTTGATTGAACTCTATTGTTTTAAAATATATCAATTGTTAACCATATGTCTGCATAAAGCATTATCAATGAAAAGAATATTATTTTTGGAAATATCAACACATGGTACTCTTATTTCTTGCACTATTCATTAAATAATATTAAAGTCACTAACGTTTCGAGACTGGTTTGTCCCATCATCAAATAAAAACCTTAATTAATATATATTTCGTTGAATTTATATCATTTGCTCCTTGCAGAATGATTATTAAATTATTTGAGACCATTAATAAATTATTAAGGTCCAAATTATTTTTTCTATCAGGTAAATAACAAATTAGCATAAATGATTGAAATTGGTGTTAATAAACGTCTTATGCGGGATATGGCAATATGTTTCATTGTGCAGAGACCGGCGAGAAAACATATTAAGCATAATCGTCTTAACGGGGTTTTACTGTATATGTATTATGATATATTTGATGTATACTAGACATATAAATTTTTAATGTAAATAATGTAAATTCAAGTATAATTAATCAAAGTTATCATTGTATATAGCAAGAAAAAAATACAATGTCATAATTATAAATAGATATTAAAAACCTTCGTAGTTAGATTTAATTAGAATTTATCCATTAATACAGAATATTTCAAATGGTAAAAATATACTATATGAAAGCCTATGCAATAAGATTGGTTGGGAGTTTTTGTTATAATAAATTAGATGATTTTCATTTCACCGACTTAATTTTTTTCAGTAATTTATGTTGCAGAATGCACATATGCAACTATCTTTAGCAAATAAAAATAATTAACACACCCTCGCCCTTAAAACATTCAAAAACTATGAAAGTGCCCAAATTTTAATTCATGCCCTAAAATATATGAAATTCTTATAGCAAACAGAGGAAATCATAACCTATGAAAAGACATGCATATAAAAATAGTACATACATATTTCAGCCCGTTCAATAGATCTATCAGTCTTACACTATAATTTTATAGTTCATTGCACTATAAATTTAGACAAACAAACTGTAATCACTATAAATACACAAAACAAAAATTCATGACATTTCTTAAATAAAAACTATTTTCCACTACAACTCCAAGTGAGTTGCCAGCACTTGCAGCACATGACAAAAATTTGCGCGCGATTTTTAAATGTTTGAAGTTCACGATAAAATATCTGTGATGAATTTAATATTTTATATGACACATAATATATTATAAACACTTTTAGTATCAACTTTATTACTATTTTCAATTATTCCCCAATTTTAGACAAAAGGTACATTGAAACGATTGCAAATAACAGATTTCATAAGAGTGCTGCCAGTGATGATGCCATATTATAAAATATATGATCAAGGATTATATTTATATTTAATTTGAATTATATTTAATTTCTTATATCTGTACAATCAATTTTATATATAATGGATTTCAGATATTGGATTTGGTAGAAATATCAAATTTGCAAATATTTTCATTTGAATCAGCTGTTTGCTTGTTGCGCAAAAAGCATGCAATCTGTCAAATATCCTAGATAGTGGCCTGTCATGTTATCAAATTTCAAATATTATTATTTACAAACATAATCATTGATCATGTTATCCTTTCATTTATAAACAATTTATTAACGTGCATCTTTTTTCTATTTCCATTTTAATCCTTGTTTGTAAATACTTGTCAAAGTTCTAATTTTAGATTATACTAGAATTACGCCTTGCATATTTTTGTTGCACAAGTAAAAAAAAAACATTAATCAAATCCGAATAATGGAGCAACCACCTTTTGTTGGCGATTGGGTGAGGAAAATTAAATTAGGTTGCGGCGGTTTTGGCATTGTTACACTTTGGCAAAATGATAAAATACCTGATAGTTTAGGTAAATGGAACAAACCCTAAAATATGCTAATGTAATTGTAGATTTAAGAAAAAATATACTGATTAACTAATGCTATTTGTTAAAAATTCGTTTCTGGTTCCTAAATTCCACATCCTAAATTTTTGTTGTAGCTATCAAAATGTGTCGACCAGATATTGCAAATCGAATTACTCCAAAACAGCGTGAAAGATGGACAAAAGAAGTGCATATTATGAAAAGTATAAGTCATCCAAATATTGTACACACAAAACGTATTCCACAATATATTTTGAAGCCTTAAAAGATATAATATATCAGAATTACCTATTCTGTCAATGGAATATTGCAGCAAGGGTATAGAGAAAATAACGTTTTGTTATATTATATAATGATTTATATTTAAATATCATATAATTCCTCAGGTAGTTTACGCCACGTACTTATCAGACTGAAAATTGCAGTGTTTATCTGAATCAGAAGTTCGATACATATTTGAAGATATATCAAGTGCTATTGCATATTTGCATAACATGAAAATCACTCATAGAGATTTAAAACCGGATAATATTGTATTACAAACACTTGATTCATCTCTACAACACAGCCACAATTTAATAACAGAACTAACAAAGTTTGTATAAACTAATAGATTTGGGATATGCTAAAGAATTAGACGAAAAAAGTATATCAGAGAGTTTTGTTGGAACTTTGCAGTATTTAGCACCAGAAATATTGCTTAACAAAAGCTACAGTAACTCTGTTGATTATTGGTCTTTTGGACTAGTTGCTTTTGAAATCATTTGTGGTGTACGACCATTTTTGCCAAATATGTCTCCAGCACAATGGTAAATTATGTAAAGACATGTTTAAGCATTTTTTGCATGTAGTCTTGGATCATATTTTAGCATTTGCTTTAATTACATGTTGCCTTAATCGAGATTAGAATAAAATTTTATTTAATGTGCTATTTCAGGTTACTACAAATACAAAAGAAAAATAGTGACACAATTTGTATATATCAAGATATAGACGAAAATAAATCAATAATTCATTGTGATAAAATTTATGCAGAAAATTTTATATCCGGTGCATTGAAATCTAAATTCGAAAAATGGTTTAAGCTTGCATTAGAGTACGATAGTAAACAAAGAGGATATGAAAAAATGAAGCCAGGATCTCAGAGCAACAGCATATTAGAAAAGAAATGTGTAACATTTAATGATATTGAAATTGATCGAATTAATAGGGAAACAAAGTTTTTCACATTATTAAACACAGCACTCAGAACAAAGATTATAAC